ATGATGTCTTTTCATTTCAGACACAAAAAAAATGTTGAACAACTTTGTGACATTTTGAAATTTTGCTTCTCTCCAAAAGACACTTTCAATTGAAAAATGAACCATTTTCAGTTATTTATATTATCAATCAATCAGTTGCTATTTTGGTTCAGTTATTGCTGAATCTTTCGGTGAAATCTTGTATTCAATTTATCAGGAAAAGTTGCCTTTATTATTGAGGCAAATGGAGTCAACTTGTTTCATTTCCAATCAAATCACCTGTCAATTTGGTGAGTCAATTTGGCTCTTCAGATTGAACAATTTGTAGCAATTATAATTGTAGTTTTTCAGTTGAAATGAAACTCACGGTAAAACTTGTTAACCTTTCAAGTTATCACATTTTGTTTATTGTTTTCTGTCAAAAAAATTATCTCTCATCTGATAATATCATATCGATCCCATCGTAATTGATTTATCATCACAATGTACACATGATATTCAGTTTATAAATAGGTTATTACACTGGGAGTTGAGAAGGAAAAATATCAATCCAAGATTATAATGTATCAACTAGAGTCAAAATGTCCATTTTTATTTCAAGTGAAACTTTAATTTGAATCGAGTTTGCCATTTTTATTGCAATTAATTAAATTTTAATGAAATTGATCAATGATGACACTTTACTGATGAACATTTGAACATTTCTTGCTTTTCATTTCCATTTTGTTTGTAATTTTAAATTTGAGTCAACCTGAAATTTGCAAATCAACTTGGATTACTTTGGTGTATTTTTGCATAAAAATGATGATCACTTCATGATTGAAGTTGAATTTGATTTGAAATAAAGGTTTACATGATTCAATTGCAGTTTACATGAATAACATTTTACACTAAACATTTTTCAATAAACATTGCCATTTAAATTAGTTTCAAAGGTTGATTAACATTTGGCTAATTCATTGAACATCAGTTGAAGTAAAATAAAAGCATTTGGATATTTGGACAATTTTAAAGTTGATTTAAAGATGAACACACAATTTTTTACTTTACATCAAATCAAAGATTCACTTGAATAGACTAAAATCAAAAGTCTGGTCAAAGTTGAAGATTTAATGGATTCAGATGAAAGCTTAATTTTGATCATTAACTAGATTCTGGTAAACATTGGACTGGCATTCTTGGTGGTTGATTATCATCTTGGACCATCTTTAAGTCCAAAAATTATTGTCACTGAATTGATCCAAGGGTTGAGTTTTTTTCTCGAGTTGATTCGGTAAAAGGATTTGCAATTTTAAATCCATAGTTATCAATCTTGTGATGCCCAAGAAGGTAAAACTGGACCCACAAAATGCTGCAAAGGAAGCAAACAGGAAAATTGTGTCTAAAAAGACTAAAAATATCCCTTTCTATCCTTTTTTTGGGTTACTTCATGTTTTTTGCAACCTTTTTTTCACTTTTTGATAAAAAGATGAACCCATTATCCTTTTGGGTCAACTCTTGAAGTATTTTTGCTGTCCTGTTGTTGAGTATAAAACATGTTATCCAATGTCGACTAACATTGATATGATTATTATTATTATCGTCATTGTCATTGTTATTACGATGATTTTGTGTTGTTACCAGAATAGCAATCAAATGAGAATCGTAAACATTTTTTTCTTTCTTGTGATTTGGCTTTACTGGCAAGAGCTTCATAATGATAATGATGGTAAGTTAAACAGCATTGAAGGTTGCAATTGATTCAGTTTATTGATTGAAATCAATTTCTTGAATGTACCAAAATCAGGTTGAAAAAAGATGATGAAAGTGATTCGTTTCTGGTTGCAAACCAGGAATGAGCAAAAGTAAAACAATACACATTGTGATACACATTCAATTGTGTATAATTATTGAATGACCATCAAAATTTGGTTCATTTTCAGATCATTTCAGCTTTTATAACTCAACAGGGTTACCTTAATGATTATCATCATCATCACTGAGTAAATGTTTCTCAGTGGGAACCTTTCGCTTTATCGTCTTTTTTACTTTAATGTATATTTACATCAATTGGTCCATCTTTTATCTTTCATCTCTTTTTTTTGGTTCCTTTTCTGGTCAATCTTGGCAATTGTTAAGCTTTCACATTCATGGTAAATAATAAACATCATAAATTGTGACATAATATTCCTATTATCATATTATAAGGTTGAAAATGAACAATCATCATGATTACAATTTGTTGACTTGCAGAGTGAATAAATGATAACACTTTCAGTTATTTAAGTTAACACATTTCTGGTCTTTTCAAAACCCATTTGTATTCATCAATTATTATATTTGGTTATATAATAATTATCATCTTCATCCTGAAAGGACAGTATCATTATCATCATCATCATCTTGGTTTTATTATTGACTTGCTCTTCTTCACCCAATAATGTTGGATCAATAAACTTGGATATTTTCTGGTTCATTTCTGGTCACTTTTGGGTTTCAAATTGTCTTTTATTTGTTTGTCAGTACCAATGGTCACAGTTTCAACTAATTATCATTAGAAATGATTTTAAATATTTATTTTACCAAACACATTAATGTTTGAAGTTGAATTGGCAATTTTTTAGGTTTCAATTGGGTTTGGGTTGAAGTTGATTTTTCTGGTTCTCTTGGAAAATCCATTATTTTGGGTCACAAATGCACTTCACAATGGTTAATTAATCACAATCATCTTTGGAAATGTTAATCATCTTTTATCAAAATGTTGCACCGTAAAAACTGGTACTCCTTTCAATGGGTTTTTGGACTTAATGGTTTAAACGTTGTTTTTAAGCTTAGTCGACCATTTTATTCATCTTTTTATACCCTTTTTCACTGTGATAATGTTCAACTTTCAACTGTAAGGCTATCTATTATTTTAATTATCATTTTCTAGGTTAAATTATTTCAATAACCTTAACACTGGCTGGTAATGGGAAGTTGCAAGTAATGAATGTTAAATTGAACTATTACTTTTCATGTGAACACCATTAAATATCATAGATGACTGAATTGTCAAACCAATATTTCATCCAATATCTAATCTGTATGATAATTTAAGTTGAAAAAAAATTGTCATTAACAGACTAATCTGATCAATTTTGTATTTAAAAATTGTGTTCTTTTTGCTCTTCACTGACTTTTCACTTTGACTTTTACAATTTTTGCTAGTCAACTTTCATCATTTTTCATGAGTATTATTAACTCTTTCAATTGAAAAGTTTCAATTGTTGTAAAGATTATTGTTGTTGTTTTGTTATAATGTATTTTTGTATATTATTAATGAGTTAATTAAAACTTACAGTGTAAACAAAGTTTGACCACATAAAAGACTGAATTTAACCTCAAGTGAACTCATGAAAAACATGGAGATATTTTTTTGCTTTTGCTTTCCTTGTTTTTAACTGTCTCTCTATAAATAGGCTTTGGCTTTTATGAATGTTAAACCAAGCATCGACCAAAATAATGATGATGATGATGGTTTATATTAATTAACAACAAGAAAAGTTAATCGATTATTTGATTCCTTTTCAGTTGACCTTACAATTGATTTATTTGGATTCAGTTTTTAAACACAAAGATCAGTTAAAGATGGTAAACACATTACACAGTAAAATTGAAAATAAACAAAATCCAATAGCGAAAGTTATAGCTGCGTTTAAGATTGACTTTTTCCTCCACAAAATTAACTATTCAAGGTAGACACAAAATGATGAGCTTGAATTTGCTGTTAATCAACATGATTCATGTTTAGAGTAAATTGATTAATAAGATGAAATACAATTGAAAGTAAAAAAACATGGATGTAAGTCACGTAAAAAATATACATTTCTTATTAGGAATCAAGATGGAAGCAAAAAAGAAGACAAAGAAACGGTTAGAAAAGACAAAGAGACAAAAAAAGGAGAACACAAAATTATGTTAATCATAAGGTGAAACATTTTGTCATTTCATTTGCTTCTTGTTACCAAATTAAGTAAAGCGGCAGATTGTCTTATCTTTCTGTCTGTCTCTGTCTGTCTCTGTCTTGCATGGGAATATTGTTACCCGTTAACAAAAGATTTTCAATATTAATTGAAAGTATGACAAAGGTTCATCTACAAAACGACAAAAAAAGACTACTTTTGATTCTGTTCTGCTTTTTGAAGCTTCATTTCTTATTCTTCAAAATCATCATCGTAATTTGTATCATCTATCATCATTGTCTGTGAATTGGAGGTGAACGATATTCAAAGAAATACCTATCCAGAATATCGATGTTATTGCTCTTATGATATCTGTGCCTTACTACTGTGAATCATTTGCCAATTCAGTGGAAAATCTTTGATCAACATTGTGACTTATTTTCTGGTTTCATTTGGTTCCTTTTTCTTGTTTAACTGGTCCTACAGTTTTTCCTCATTCTAGGTGTACATTAAACTTATAATGGTTAATTATGTCGACTGTCAATTGTTGATAAGTGAATCGACTGTGTTAACTTCATGTGTCCTAATTATTTGACATCGGAACCAATCAATTTTGTGAATTAGAGTCAACAGAAGGAGTAAGTCAACAGGCAATAACTAATCATTTTGCTGTCAAAGATGAATAAAGATGGTTGCACATACAAGTGATCAGTGAACCTTCGATAATTTACAATCCTATTCTGTTTTACTTCATTATTATACTGTGTCAATTAATAAATATACATTTATACAAACAGAAAAGGGTAAGATTATTGAACTCTGCTGTTATTAATTTTCATCCCATAAGTTTCACTTTCGATAATTCAGCTTTTCCTTTTGATTCTTCTTGTTTCTCTATTGATTACGATTAGATAATGAGTTATTAATTTGGCTATTTGAAACTGCATAAGTAATGAGAAAAGTATCATCAATTACTGTTAGTCACATTAGGTTAGGCTACATTATGATGTATCATGATTTCATTAATACTTTACAGACCAATTATGGTATAAAAAAATTTTCGTCACTTGTTCAGGTTAACTGAAACTGATCAAGACTTACCGAGATTTGTTGAGATTGTATCCATTGAGATAGTTTTGGCATATGATGGATCACTAATTTAATTTGATTTCAAATTAATCAAAAAACTTGGATTGATTTGGTATACTTTAGTTTAATTTGATGAAACAAGTAAACTCTCGATGGACAAGTCTACCTTTTAGTAATATGGAAGAGATGATAGTTGAAAACTTGTCTACGTTCACTCAACAATAAACCAGTAAAGATGTAACAATATAAAATGAAAAAAAGGTTGAAATTTAGCACAATTTATCAATTTATTTCATATATTCATCACTAAAGTTGAAAATTAATGTAAATGCATACATTAAACAATGAGCTTTTTGGCGGTAGAACGGAATAGGAACCCAATCTATTATTTGAATGAATACAACGTTTATGCTAGAGTTGATTAAACACAATTGATTTTATAATAACTGTTATCAATAGATGATGATGTTTATAATGATGATGACGATGATGAAAATGATTGATCTGGTTATAAAGGAACGAACGAGCAAACATAAAAGGAAGGAAACCAAAGGAAGTTTGTAGACAAATGTTAATAGTTATATTGATAGATGTTTTTCCCAATTGATCTTTAGTTTAAATGTAAAAAACCTTTACATTCACCTTGATTCACTTTATCATCATAGAAATATAAACATTGATGATGATATTAATCTAAGAATACATGAAATGAACTTAACGTACAAGAGTTTCTCTCATGGTTATGCAATGAAATTAAGTGAATACAAATTTAACCATTGCAAGACTGAGAATGAAACTGAACTTTCAATCGGAAAGAAGGGAATTTCTCATTTTCTATCTTCTTTTTCTCCTTCACTTTCTCTCTTCTCCTCTTCACTATCTCTCTTTCTTGTTCTCTTTCTAATTCAAGAAATACTATGAAAACCATGAGAGATGAATGCGCAAGAATATTGAATCGATTAAGCATGGTTAAGACTTTTGGTACCTTCAATTTTATACTATTTTATCGATTAGTTTATATCAAGTTACCATGACAATTAGAATCTTAATGATGCCTAAACTTAGTATTCTGGTTAGATTGTGAGTAACATATGGAACATACTTGTTCAGTTAATTATCATGTAATTTTATAGCCAATTTTTAAACATAAACATAATTATGTGGGTAAGTTTCAACTCTTTGCAATCACCAGATCTCATTACTACTAACCACAAAAGGGTAATTACGAGTAGAGGAGGTAACTTATTCGGGCAACATAATTAGAAGATGAACAATTAAATAAAAAACAGATTAATCTATTAATGGATCTTTATTAAATTAGATAATTTCGAAGGAACAGTCAATTTGTGATAGCTTTTCTAATGAATCCTGAATAGAGTCGGATGGGTCAACATTTACAGTCAAAGTTTCACCAACGACATTTTTGATGAAAATTTGCATTCTAGATGTAGCTAATGTATTATGATGGTGATTGGGCCACAACGCATACTTGCTAATGATATGTAAGACTGTTCCTTGAGACTGGAAACGGCGCAATTTTGAATCATCACCATAATAGTAAGGGAATGATGATATTGAATAATTATCTTGAGATTGTAGCTCTGAGATTTTGTTGAAGATGGCGAAAATGACTTGGTTTTGTAATTAATTAAAATATCCTTAGATTCAGATGATTTGGCTTGATTATTTATCTCATGTAAAGGTATTTTTCCACGATCGGGAGTATTACGTTCACTATTATCACTATTTGGTGTGTATTGCACTTTGTTATCCAAAAGTTGGATCGAATCACTTTTTCCCTGAGCTAAATGGAGTAAATTTATGGCAAATTGTGTGGCATTATACGGATTCCAGTCAAGTCCATGAATACGTTGATCATGGGTTGAAATATAGTGTACAGGATTGGAGATTTTCTAGAAAAAAATTATGGATTGAAAATTATTTTTTGCTAGAAAATAAATTGAACTGGCTAAAGAGCTTTGGTAAAATTACTCTTTTATCCTAAATCTGGTGTCCAAATCCAAATCCTAAACAAGGTCTTCGGTGTTCTCTGAGATCCCAAACGTAAACGAAAGTGTCCATGGAACATGATGCCAAAAGGTTTTGATCAAAAGGAGCCCAGTTAAAGGCAGTAACAACTCTACGGTGATCCTTCAACATTATCGGTGATCGACATGACATCAGCTTCGATGTCTTTGTGTTCCGCGGTGACTTTCTCATTACTGCAACGGGTAGACATTTTGATAGATCTGCAATCACAATTTGAACTGGTAGTCAAGAGAGTAAGTTTTGAAATAAGCAGCAAGATATGAATGGAGATATAAATAGAGAGAGGAACTAAATAAATCCAAGGCAAAATTATCAGAAACTTACAAAATAAATATAAAACAAGTGAAAATAATTGAACGCATACCTTTTGAAGATGGAATCAAACAATATTAACAAAGATAAATAACCGATTTAACAATCAAGCCAATTCAAATCATTAGGACCTAACACTAAAACCAAACAAAAACATTTTTACTCTTCTTATCTGTTTCATGAAACTCACTCGACTTAAAAAAGCAAATTGAAATTATTTGGGCAACATAATTAGAAATTGAACAATTGAATAAAAACAGATTAATCTATAAATGGATCTTTATTAAATTATATAGTGTCCATTTATTTGGTTTCTTCAGGTTTATCAAAAACAAATGTTAGACCACATTTTCCGCAATATTGACGATCGAAATGATTAGCCATGAAAACACCAGCTCCACATTCCTCATTAGTACACTCACGTCGTAACCTAGTAATTTTACCATTTTCGTCGACCTGGAGAGGATGAACAAAAGAAAAAAATCAGTAAGTGAAACTAATAGATGAATAGGCAATATGGAATACTATCAGTTTGCGATAAAACGCGACAGTAAAGGCTATTATAAAGGACAGAGTGTCAGTGGAAATAATTGATCTTACCTTATAATATCTAAGGACAGCTAATTTAACCTTCTTTTTCTTATGCTTATTCTTTTTTGGTGTGGTGTAATTCTTCTTTTTCCTTTTCTTGGCACCTCCCGGGAGACCGACCACAAAGTTTACAGTTGAACCCTCTTCAAGGGTTAATTCAGAAATTAGCTGATCTTCATCTAAAATACTTCCACCGAAAATGAGTCGACCATCTTCTTCGAAAGAAACGTCAATTTGTGTAAGCTTTTCTAATAAATCCTGAATAGAGTCGGATGAGTCAACATTTACAGTCAAAGTTTCACCGACGACATTTTTGACGAAAATTTGCATTCTAGATGTATCTAATGCGATCCCGAGATGGACCTAAATAGTAAAGATCACAGTAAGAAAGAGAAAAAGAGATTAAATTCATGCACAAAACAATGTAAGAAATGTACACGGGTAAATGAACCAGGCCAAGGGAACCAAATAAAACCAAGGTAAAATTACCAGAAATATACAAATTGAATACAGAACAAGTGGAAATAATTGAACACATACCTTTTGAAAATGGAATCAAACAATATTAACAAAGATAAATAACCAAATTTAACTACAATTAAGCCAATTCAAATCATTAGGACTTGGATAAAAACCAAACACAAACACTATTAGAGGAAACGGAAATAAGCCGCAACCATGCTCTCTATACAACACACTTATTCTTTTGCCAACCAATCAGGAAAAATGAGGTTTGAACGCCATCTACCAGTCTTTACTTCTACTACTTCTTCTCTTAATCTCACATTTGATAGTAATAAATTGATGAACTAGATGTCACGACGGATTATTGTACCTAAAATTTTTGCCATGCTTGAAGTTTAAATAACAACTTGTTAAAAAACAGGACGAGTTACATGCTTGCTTACCTTTGATGCGGTGTTGTATCTCAACAAATTGTCTGTGGTCTAAAATAATTTCCCCACGGAATATTTTTTCAACAAACAAGTATTGTTAGGTTAAGTAAAGTAAAGAATTAAATAAAGACAGTGTTGCTTATTAAAAGTACCAAGTACATTATTGTCAATACCTTTTATAAGGAAAACCTAAATTATTAATTTAACATCAACAACCCTTTTTTTAGAGAAGGTGAAATATGACTACTAGACCGAAAGGATCCGAGTCTGAAAGGTCAGACAGTCCATCATCATCGTCATCTTCTACATCATCATTGTCTGCTTCATCTGAGAGTAAGGTTAACGGTGAAATTATTACGAATGGAGATCACAAGGAAAATGGTGAAACCAATAATGTAAAATGTATAGAGAACCCATGTGCTTCTGAAGTCAAATCCGAATGTGATGTATTGGAAGGATCATTTTTTGGTCATTTAAATGGTCATCCTCTCGAAGAGCCTGTTATAATTTATCAATTTGAATTGGCCCAATATTTATGTGGTAGATTAATTGGAAGAAATGGTCATTTTGTTAACCAAATTAAAGAAAAATCTAATGCCAGTGTTATTGTTAATCGTCATCCACTTTCTCCTCTTTATAAAATTTGTAGCATAGAAGGTGAGTAAACAGTTTTCCTTTTCTCTTCATTATTTCCTTTAGATTGCGTGGCTAGTTTTAATCAATGATGCCCTTTCCTAACAACATGTGTTTCAATTTATCGACCGTGGATAACCATTATCAACTTGAATCGTTAATGTTACTGAAACAGTTGTACATTTTGTTGTTACATCTTTTCTTATCCTTTTCTTGTATCATCTTGATCTTTCAGGAACTAGATCTGAAATAAGAAGAGCATTGCGATTAATTCGCTCCAGATTTCCGGTGTATGAGTTTCCTGAAGTTACATTGCAACAGATAAATGTTATCAGTCCATTATTACAAGCTTGCCAAGTCACCGTACCTCAATCTTGTCAGGTAAGTGTTTTCTATCTCAAAATTGTTCTGATTGACTATTGTATTCTATTATTCTGTTTAATCAAACAATTATCCTACTTGTATAGAAAAGTCATTAATTTATTCTTCAATTTTCCTTATAATAGCTCCATCTTCCTGAAGGAGTCTCATGTGATGTGATATTGTCCAACGTGGTTGATGCTGCACATATTTTCGTTAGACAACCAACACATCCAACTTATCCATCGCTTAGTCGACTGGACCAATTCATGAATGCCACTTACTCTGTTGATACCCCTCCTGTTCTCTCTCCTCATCGTATGTTTTTAAGCATTCTATTTATTTATTCGGATACGGAATTTACCTCACCATTCAATTTAATTGACGTAACTAATATTCTCTCTTTCTATATTCTTTTAACACGACATCTTAAACTCGATTCAGCTGGTGATATATGTGCCGTCAACATGTGTAATGCCTGGTATCGGGCAATGGTAGTCAGTTTATTGGATGACATGGAAGTTGAAGTCAAATTTGTTGATTATGGTGGCTATGCTCGTGCACCGATCTCATCTCTCAGGCAAATTAGATATGACTTTATGACTTTGCCTTTCCAAGCCACAGAATGTTATTTAGCAAATGTTAAACCTACTGACGGTAAGTTAAATCATCTGGTGCTTATTCTTGATCAACTAATTGATTGTTCCATACAATTTAATCCTTAAATCAGAAAACCAAGGATGGTCTAAAGAAGCCAACGTTGTTTTTCATGATCTCGCTCAAGGACAAATGTTACAAGCTAAAATTGTTGCTTATGCTGATGATGGTATACCTTTGATCCATTTACACAAAATTCAAGGAGCTTCGGTAGGTTTCATCTCTAAAACAATGCTTTCACCTTAAGCATCATCATCAACATCATCAACAACATTGTCATCATCAAGAACTGTTGAAACAGAACACTTTTATTAGTCTCACTATTTTGTGGTCATTTAAGTTATAATTGTTGCATCTTGTCTCTCCTCGTGTTCACTTTTCTCATCATCTCTCAATCTCTGCATCGTGTTCATTTCTCTTTTTTCTCTTCACTTCTCCATTTTTCTCTTTTTATCTGCTTCATGAAACACACTCGACTTAAAAAAGCAAATTGAAGAAATTATAAGTCTATCCTGCGTTTTCCATCGCTTCAATGAGCTCTTCTTTTTTGCACTTGTGTATATATTTTTCTCATCACTTGCTCACCCATCCTCTCTCTCTTCTCTTCTCTCTTTTTTCACCAAAGACAGATTTTAAGAAGAGTTAGTCAGACTTGAAAAAAGTACAGAGAAAAAAAAGGTCTAAACATGCTCATCATTAGGACTGGTTTGTCTTGCCCTAAGCTAGGTTGACAGCCTTAGCTCAATGAAAACAGAAATCTAGTTGAACAAGTTAGTACAACGTACCTTTATATATAAATGATTGAGCATTTCATCTCTATCTTTCAACTCCATTGGGTGAGCCCATAATATTAGAATATCTTATTTTCTTCCCCCTTTTCTTCTTTTCTCTTTCTCTTTCATCTGCAGCGTTTATTCTCGGCATTTGAAAGCAACTTTTATGTATTCATTAAAAACGTGCTCTTTACCTTTACCTTTCCTTCCTTACCTCAGCTAGCTTCTTGATGATAGTGTTTTTGTAATTTATTTAGCAGCTTAAATGCTTTAAATTTTTATTATTGATTGCCGAAATGATGTTAAAAGTGAACATGATTCAGACTGATCAAGTTTATTAGAATTATTATCAAGCAAATATGCTTGAGGATGTTTACTGAGCCTATTCTATCAATTTATTTTTCAATCTGACGAAGAAACTTAAATTAATAGCTGCTGTGGCAACACTTGACTACTAATTTGATTGTTTCTCTCAAATTCACAGACAAAACTTGTTAATTTAGTGTAAAATTTTTCATTACAATTGATTTTTTTCCTGATTTGACATCTAATTAATAATATTTTACCATTTTTTTCAGAGCGTCTTCATTAATCAAGAATTGGTAAATCGAGGACTTGCTGAATGGATTGAACATCAAATATGGGAATAAATTGCATGGTATCCTGTTATAAAACGAAAAAAATCAAGTGACATTATTAATGATTAAAAGCGAAGACTGTCGATCATCAATCATCATCGTATATTCATATAAAATAGCTTACGAGTTGAAAATCATCCATAACGACACCAATATATAAAAATGTTTCATTTTCAACTTGAATTTAAAATTATTCTTTTTTTGTTTCTCTTTTCTCTTTTTCTTTTCTTTGGTTCATCAACAATCAGACTTTATATTTATCAATTTTGACTAACAATTTACTGTTATGCTTGTTGCCAAAAGTAAATGGCTTAATGATAATCCGTATGAGATAAACCTTTGTTTTTTTGGCTTGGTTAAGCTTCATTTTTCACATCACCATTTTTTTCTTGCTGTTTTGAGATTTGGTTTTAACATAAGTCTAATATTTGATGAAACATTTGGTTATATTTCAATGATAATATGTAAACTTAATAATATTTTAAAAATGTAATAATCAGGGGAAATATTTAATTATTATTTGATTGGAGGAAGCAAAAATTAATCAATCAATGTTACTTGAACGCAACAAAAGAAACCATTGTAAATGTTTGTTCACATTTTATCACAACAATTATAACAATATTTTCTGAATTATATTATTAGATTATTATAATACTCTAGTATTAGATTGAAACTTGATTAAAAAAAACAAGCAAACAGTTAATCAACAATTAGTAAACAATCAATCTGTCTATTATTGTTGTAATAAAAGAAGAGCGCAAACAATAAACAACAAATGATAATCATTTACATAATCTTTTGTCTATTTAAAATTAAATCTGATTAAACTCACTGATTCAATTGTATTTGATCTAATAAACGTAGTTAAATAAACAATTGTTTCTAATATTTACTCATAGTCCTCAATGATGATCACTATTAGTGATGAGAAAAGGTTGAAACAAAAGCTTTTAGTTGCTTAGCAAAAAATGCTGCATTAGCAAGCTACTTCAACCTTTCCAATTCACTCACATGGGTATCATGATCATGTCCATGATTAATCAATCACGGATCTTTTTTTATTTAATTTAAACAGTAATTATTATATTTAAAACTATGATCTTTCCAATAAGCCCAAACACGTGCGTCAATTCAGAGCGCTTCAATCTCAAATAAGTGTTAATAGTGAAAACTGTAATTTATAAGACGCATTTCTGAGTATATATTTCACTTGAAAACCAATGTAACTTTAAGATCATACTTCAAAGGATCATTTCTAGAGTATGATTGGGACGTTTCGTTAACAAAACGAAGTCCAACTCAGCCACGATGAGGAGTTAAGGGGCTTTTTCCTGAGCGGGAAACGGAGTGTCTAGAATTGACTTGTTCAGACCTAGCACTCATTGATGACCGTTCTTGACCGGTTTAATTACCGGTTAGGAGGGAATTAGCTCGATCTGAGTGGTATTATTAAAAAACCAAAAACAGAAGCACTTTTTAAAGTAATATTCATTACTTGTTAATGGATCTTTGAGATCTTGAATGAGTAACATATTCAGATGTTTTTTAAATGTTCAGTTTCATTGCTTTAATTCATGAATTGGTTTTAAATTAAACGTAAGATTGATACAATATTTACTAAAATGGTTGCTTTACAATAGCAGTTTATTTAGCACACTTATCCTCAACTGATTAATTAAAATTTTCAAAATGCCAAAACATTGTTTAATCTCAATGTTTAAATAATTTAGAAAACAATCCTTTCTTCTTGCTTCGCTCTGGATTATTATTGGATCGAGAATTCTCCTTGTGTGATGAGCTATTTTTACAAAACCTTGAATTAAAGTTAATTCCTCCTCTACTATTACTTGATATATTATTGTAACCAGTCCTTTGTGTTGGTGGAGGTGAGGTTGAAGAGGAGGTTGTTGAGTCAACCTTTTCAAAAGGTGATTCGCTCTTCTTTGGATAGTCTGATAGACCAAGGCCTAGTAAGAGACCTTCATCTAGGCCTGGTTCAATATCGTCATAATTGAGGCAAGATATTCTAGACTCTAAATCGTAATCCTCTTTATTAAGAAAATCTAATAGTGGAGGTCGTTCTAGATGTAAGGTTGACCATCTTGTTTGCGGATATTGATTGGCTGGATTAAAAAAACTAGGCCCAGGAAGGTTAGATGATGGTGACTTTGATGAGGATGAAGATGATGACAATGGTGAGGTTGATACTGTGATTTTAGCTGGTTGTGAAATTTCAGTGAAAAAAGGGTGAGACCGAATTGATGGATATGAGCCCAAAGTAAAATCATCTGAAGCACCTAAACGGGAACAGGGATCCAGGGTAAGTAATGATTTTATCAAATCTTCGGCCTCTGGATAAATTTTATCATCTGGAAAAGTAAGATTGAGGGCAAGTATCTTGTGAAAGATGAGATAGTCAGTTGCGTCATTGAATGGTGGACTTCCTACCAACATTTGATATATAATACAACCATAAGCCCATAAATCTGAGCTTGTGAAACATCTTGCACATGTTATCATCTCTGGTGATACATACTGAGCTGTACCAACAAACGAGTTACTCCGAGAGTTTTTTGTTTTGTTATTGTTCCTATTATGTGCTCGATATCTAGAGTGTTGCTGCCTTGACTCATCACTTGAACTATTATTTTCATCTTCCTGTTTTTCGTCTGATTTGTTGTTCTCGACGTCATCCTCGTCATCAGTTTCTTCTCTGTCACTTTCTGCATCGCCATTTTTGTTTTCCTCGTCTCCTCCGTTTTGGGTTCTTTCTTTGCTTCTTGACTTGGTCATCCTTTTCTTTCGTATAGTCAAGGGGGTAGGTTTTAATCGAATCCGTGCTACCTTGAAAAGCTGAACCAAAATCAGTTATTTGTATTTGCATTTTATCATTCAAAAGTAAGTTCTCAGGTTTTAAGTCTCTGTCGGATTGAAAATAAAGAAGAAAGATGATAGAAATTTTAGACGTGAAGCTAATACTGTTTCACCTGTTAAAGACGAAAACAAGTAATTTACCTGTGAATAATGCCCAACTTGTGCAGATACTCCAAAGCAAGGAGAATTTGAGCTGAGTAAAACCGGGTACATTCTTCGTTGAAACCAGATAATTTATTGATATATGTCAACAATTCTCCTCCTCTGGCAAAGCTGAGTCCAAAAACTGTAACAGAAAAGGTAAAGAAAAAAGATATAGAAAGATCGACAGACAGACAGAGACAGATTGAGACAGAGAAAGAGAGTAGCAGACAGCCAGTCAAGGAGAGACAGTGAAAAAGAGATGAAAGGAAAGATGAAGAAATGAGATATCAATAAGTCAATCAAAAAGGTATTTAAAGAAAAAAGATCAAATGTCAGGGAAGACGAGGTGAACAAGCAAGATAGAGAAATATTAAAAACTCACATAACCGGTGAGAGTCTTGAAAAGAAAAATGCAACCTTATGAAATAAGGACTTGAATGTGAGTCCAATAGATTTAGGATATCTTTCTCCCTCATAATTGCTTTAGCCTTGTTTTCTTTCAAAAGTTGCCTTTTCTCACAGATTTTGATTGCATACTTTTGTTTGGTGTGTGTATCAACAGCCAAGGCCACCATAGAGAATGAACCTTCCCCAATTAAACCAATAAACTTAAAATCTTGTGCACATTTCTTTCTAATCAGAGGTTTATCGGAGGGTTGGGCAGTTGGATTGTTTGTTGTTGAATTACTCGTGTTGTTCATTTGGTTGTTTGTTTTTGTTTTCTTGAAAAAGGGTCAAAACACTGATAACAAAACAGAGTACATATAGAAGCAGGTAAGCCGGTGAAGGTGAAAATAAGAGGTGTAGTATTAGTTGAAAACAGAGACGAAACAGCCACTTTCAAAATAAATGATACAATTTAATCAGCAGAAAATGAAATAAAATTGACTCACAAAAGTAAAATAACAGCAATCTTCTGCATAAATACAGAATAATGTACATTGATTCTACTGCTGAGACTGTTAAACCGGCGCAGCCGCGGCAGCTTTTAAGGCGCCACCTAGCCAGTTTAACTCTGGCTAGGCTTTAACAGCTTAGCTGGGAATGCGAGGAGGAGGTGAGGACTTAAGCTAAGGTGATCGCGACGAAATCAGGACTTGGCGAGGATAAACGCTAATCCCAAGATGCAGAATACAAAATTATAAAGATTAACAATCTTATTGTAAGTGCTAAACATTAGGCTTCAGTTATTTTGACAATTTAATAAGAGCCATCTATGGCTTGAAAAATGAAGCCAGCGAAAATAAAAAAGCTTGGATCGTCTTTTTTAATTGTTAATTAAAATCCTCAATTATTTATCATGTGTTTGTAATCTAATGTTTAAATGCTCTATGGTTCCATTATTATAATTTTACTGCTTTTTATGCAAAATCTATAGTTACATTGTGTTTCTGTATGATTGTCAAAATTTATAATTTATCCTCACAAAAGATGGGCTTATAACCCCTTTCTGATGCATTCACATGACTGTGCTGAATCAATCCCAAACAAACTGATCAACATACAAATATAAACATGATCACATGAGTATAATTCAAAAATCCACTAAATATTCAACATCGAGTATTGGATACGATATAAACATGCTTCTCGTAAATAGCCAACAAGAATGGACTTTTCGAATCATAAATGCTTGGCGACATTTAGGATCACATGAAGTAGATAGAAGCGATTTGGTGTTTCCGTGTTTTGAATGCTTGGTGATGTAAGACAAAAACAAAAGCTAAACTATATGGAAAAACTAATAATCTAAAACATGAAGTCGCAGCACGAAGAATCGTCTGACAATGGCACCTGTGAATACAAAAATCATAAGCAAAAAATGAAGAAAATTGAAGAAGCTGAAAGTTATCTCTCTTTTAAAAAATTCTGAACTCTCAACCTTGGATGGTCTAGTCATTGAAACAACCCTCATGAAGTTATATTTGTCGTACTAAATGTTACTTCAAATGTTATAAATGCTAAATTATATTGTAAAACAGTTTGCTTGAGTTACTTTCTTTTCCTTTGTTAGATAAGTTTATTTTGTATTTCTTTCTCAACTGTTGTAACTCAATCCAAAAGTGATTATCCACCTCCTCTACTGAAAAGTCACATTTTTCTTTACCTGAATCTGGTACTCAGAAACTTGATAATATTAACTTACAAAAAGTCAGTAAGATTAGAAGTAACTCCGAAAAAATATTCCAGATGTCCTTTGCTGTGAGCACTGCGTAAGCCTAGTTAAAGCGATTCTCCCTTATAATAAAGAAATAAATGATTCCTTACGTTTATAGATTTATATGCGATCCCTCTACTGACAAAAACTTTTGGTTTTATGCTTTTAATAAAGATTGTTTACATGATGTAAATTACATCGGTAAATTTATAATTGTTACAAGTGGACAATTATTTAATTCAGTTTTATTAGATCCCTTTTGATGCCATCTAAATCAAATGATTTGATTGTGATAACATAGAATATTTTAACACTTTGATTCTTCCAATTTTTAAATTTGAAAGATCCAAGCCTGGATAAAAGTGTCTTAAACTTTCTATTATGTGGCTTAAATGTAAATACCCATTAACTCCAACCGAAGATAGTAATATTTGGTATCCAGAAATTGATGGCTGTGGTCTTCTGTGTAATATAACATTAATATCAACTGAAGATCAAACTTCAATCCAAAACATTGTTTGGTATGCTGGATTAAGTGTCATCATATTTCTTTCTTTGTGTCTATTTACTTTTCGTGTTGATTGGAAAAGTGCTAACCGTTATCCATCGGTTGGAATTTATTATCTTTCTATCTGCCTTTTTCTCCATTATATTGGATGGATGGTTCAATTTTTTTACACCAAACAATCAATAGTTTGTCGTCATGACAATACTAGAAGATATAGTGAACCAGGTAGTCCTGGGTCAGCACTTTGTATTCTAGTTTTCTTTCTTATTTACTACTTTGGCATAGCAGCGCTTATCTGGCTGGTTATTGTCTGTTACCTTTGGTATCATAAACTCAAAGTGCCCAAAGGAAATTTTAATGATCTTATTGAAAAACGTCGCCAACCTATGCATGTTTTCGCATGGAGTATTCCATTTGCTCTTACCGTAATGATAATCCTTCTTAACAAAATTGATAGCTATCCGATGCTTGGAATCTGCTTCGTTAGTTCTGACGAGCCTATTATGCAGATTTTTGTTTGGATACCCATTATCTTATGCCTATCTGTAGGCATTTTTAATACCAGTAAAACTATGCATGTTTTAATTAAAGCAAAATCAGTTGCTGTTTCACATCTCACAAAGAGGAGAAAGCGTGATGCTACCATCAACAGAATGCTTATAAGATTAGGTAAGTTTGGTATAAGTTATATCTCTTTGTTATCTTGAAATGAACTAATTATAATATAATATCTTTACTTGATTTTCTTAGGAATCTTTTGGTGTTGTTTGTTGAAATTCTTTGCTGTGGTTATTTATGCTCAAATAACAGACCATTTAAACTCCCATAAATGGAAAAAAAAGTTAGATAATCTTGTATTGTAAGTAATAATGTCTCTTTTTGCTCTAAATTCAACTTTTCTACTAATTACTGTATAATTTCAATTATTTACAGATGTTCAATAGATTCAATGATTCCTAAATTGGATCCAAACAGAACTGCTGAATGTGAACCAAATGTATCGGCTCCTAGTTTGTCTCACTTGAAAATCCAATTATTTGTTTGGTTCAGTGTTGGTTTTACTATTATTATTTGGTTATTCACCCGAGCATCGTGGGAGGCATGGAGGAGATTTTTTCTCAAAAAGTGTGATGCCTATTCAATAGGACGTCATGGAAGAAAACATGAAATGTTAGCAAAAGCGTATAAATACCGGAGAGCCACTAAATATAATCAAGAATCTCTTCATGGTGATCCAGTTGACATGAATCTCACTTCTGCAACATCGCAGGAAATATCAACTGAATGGCTTGCTAATTTTCCCAAATTTCTTCAACGAAGAGCTGCTATTACAAGTCTGACTAATGCCAATCATTATTTGTCTAGGTATAGAACTTATAACAACAATAATAACTCTTCAATATCAGACACTAGTATGCAACAAGGATTATCCTGTGGCTCCATGATCAGTAATCATCAATCACTCGATTCACAGGCTAGTATTGATATTATTAGTCGTCATGTTCGCCGTAAAACAAAGAAAGAGCGTGTACGTCTCTCCTCCAAGATTGGTCTTTGGAAACGGCGAGGGAGTGATTCTTCGATTCAAAGTAACAACCTTGCAATTATTAGCAATCAAATTCGCTCTCATGACGCTGTTACTAGAGCAACAAGTACTGGTGACTTACAATTACCAGGTCCTTCGTCAGTGTTACCTGCCTGTAGCTATTTACCTTCCTCTTTTCCTCACCCAACTGCGTATCCTGTTATGTCTCCTACATTTTCAGTAATGAGCCGACCAAGAACCGATAAACCTCCTGTTAATCATCCCTTTACACATGGGATGTCCCAACAAGGAGATTCACTCATAAATCCATTGCAAGAACGACGTCGACCAGATAGTAGCATCAATGGTAGTAGCGCGTCAGCTTCGCAACAAAATGCAAATTTAGGAGTTGGCTATCTTAACTCTTTTAATTGTACAATGTCAATGTCAGGGCAACCCTTAGGCCCTTTTGCAAATCCAAATCTCATGGTTAATGGCTGCGGTCCGCCTAATGGAATACCCAATTATTTTGGATTTTCAGCTCCAACACCATTCTCTCAACAACCGCCAACTTCATCACTTTATAATCCATACTACCCACTGGTTCCTTGTGCTCCTTTTTCAAATGGTGCCAGTAATTTAGATGAATTGCAAAGTATTAACCGTGCAAGAGAAGCTTGCCTTCCTTTGATCACTGGTGTTGACACTTGCAGTGAAGACGGAGAAAAAAAGTTTTTACCAATAGCAATTTCAGACTCTGAAGGTTTTACTGATGGTGGATTTGGTCCATCAGTTAGTCGCACAACAAGTCGAACGGCCCGTCGTTTACAAGGTAGCTCTTGTAAGTGAACTAAGGCTTTTGCTCAATGAAGAAAAAATCAACAACTGATTAACTTTCGCTAATGAAGTGCTCAAGATTTATCGAGTTTTTAAAAGCTGACTATTTATGAAACTGTCTTTCTATTTCGCTGTTTATTGACATGAATTATTCGACTCATCCTTCAATATTGGAATATTATCTCAAAATCTTTGCGGCTCAATAACTAATTTAATTTCCATGACAACTTTACTTGACTCAATAATGTCAAGTTTCTCAACTACGCTAAAATTGCAAAGAATTGAAAAGAAAAATATTTTCACGTAAAGTAAAATACTACAAATTTGTGATGATTTGTGCTTTATGTCGAATCAAATACCCCAAAATATACATGAATCTCGTTTATGTCAGCAATCAGCTTACAGAAAACTGCCTTCACTTCTATTTATTGTTAGACTCTTAACCGAAAGGATTAAAAACATAGGACTATATCCATGATAATTATCTAATACTGTTCTAGTTGATAATGTTGTTGGTTATTTTGTGTGTATAAGTTCGAACTATTTATAGATCTTTTTATAAAAATCTGACCATTTGGTAAAAATTGAAATACTCTAAAGTAAATCAACAAATTTCAACTTGAACAGTATTTCTCACTGTTAACAATCAGTGGAAAAGCACAGATAAATATCAAGGTTACTCGTTCTTTTGCCTCTGTATAAATGTTCATTATTTTTTCACATCAATCTATAAACTTGATTACTTTTTCATCATCACCTGAAAATCCTCATCACAGATTTCTGATAAATTTGTGGTTTTTGACCATACTGTCAATAAAATATTTTCATTTTCAATACGTTTCAAACGATCTCTTTATTTTCAAAAAAATATCATTGCAATTTTTGAGTTTAGAAGATAAATTTTCCTATTTACAAAAAAATTTAAAAAACAAAACTTCCAGTGAAAATAAAAACTAAATAATGTTGATATTTAGCAATAATAATGGACATTGTGTATTAAATATAACCATTAAAAGAAAGATTAGATCATAACATTTCGCTAGTTATCAAAGAAGTAACAAATTTTGATAAACTAAATATTATGAAGGTTACTTTGGACTTACAAAATTATCTTTAATTATCTGGCAAGAGTTTTTTTGGATTGAGAATGTTATTGGGATCGAAAAGTTGTTTCAATTGTTTCATTAAATCAACCACTTCACGTTGCTTTGAATAGTATATTAAGTGTCTCTTTTTCATTCCTAATCCATGTTCAGCTGAAACACTTCCATTGCGTTCACCCACCCATTCATGTAAAAGAGTTTCTATCGATTTGATTTCATCGCTAGTAAATGACTTTGCAGAAATGGCCAGATGAAGGTTGTTATCAGCCAAATGACCATGGCCACTAACTCGAATCAGATCTTTTTTGTTTGCTAAATGTTCTCTCATTATATCGACAATTCGATAATAGTCTTTATGTTCAAGAGAAACGTCATATGAAAGCGCTTCGCCTTCTGCTTTAATTGCTATCATAATTTGCTCACGCATCGCCCAAAGTTTATTGTAACTGGTTAAATCTGTGGATAAAACTGCATCATTGACAATTCCCTCATCAGAAATCATGGTGTCAAGGAAGTTGGTTAAATTGTCTCTGATAACCTCTTCACTGGATCCAGGGAATATGGAAATTTCAAAGAGAACATAAAACGGTGCCGAGAAAGGAGGTTCAAGGTGCAAGTTGATGTGAACAGAGTCCATTGTAGTTTGATCCATCAATTCATATGCACTTAAATATGCAACAAATCGCGATCGGATGATTTTCAACAGTTTAACTGAAGCTTCGTAACTTGGTACTCCAAGAAGGGCAACAACTTTATCGATTGGTTTTACTGGACACAAAATGGATGCTTTGGTTATTACTCCGAGAGTTCCTTCAGAACCAATGAACAGCTGTTTCAAATCATACCCAGTATTGTCTTTGCGAAGAGTTGACATCATATTAAGGACAGTTCCATCAGCTTTAACAGCCTCTAATCCAAGGACTGATCCATGAAGAGAACCATACCTAACGTAACGGATTCCCCCTGTTGAGCAAAAAATAGGTTCAAATTATTTATATGTATTTCTATAGACTCTTATTCAAACGGGTGAAAACAACTGAAAATACATGAGCAGTAAGATATTACCTGCATTAGTAGCTATATTCCCTCCAACATGACACGAGCCCTTTGCTCCCAAATCATAAGGCATCATATATCCTTTTTCGTTGACAAACGACTCAGCTGTTTCCAGAATGACTCCAGGCTGACAAGTTAACACTCCAGTGGTATCATTGAATTCAATTATCTTGTTCATTGCTTCCATTGAGATTATAATTTCGTCATCTTGAGGAACTGAACCAGCTACTAAACTTGTATTTCCTCCTTGAACGACCAATTGTAGACGATGATCATTACAATATGACAAGATTTTGGAAACATCTTCCGTTGTCGAAGGAACCAAAGTCAAGCTACTTTTTCCTGTGAATATCAAGAACGGTTGAGTAAAACTGAAGTTATGAATTGAAATTTGTTAAAAGCCAAATTTACCTTCGTGGAGGCCTAACCAATCACGATTATATTTCTCCAAGTCAGTTTGTTTAACCCGATTTTCACCCAAAACTGATTTAAAATAGTCAACATTGGCTGCTTGGATAGAATTCAATTGTCTCACTGAATTAAAACGAAATAACCTTAACAATGAATTACCAAACTTCACATTTGATAACATGGTCGACGATGATTGATATGACTATGGTGAACAATCCGAAAGACGATATGGCGATGTCAATAAATAGATTACATTACAGACTTGTTGATAAGCAACATCAGTTAACATAATAACATAATATTTTCAAAACAAGTCAAGCTATATGCGCGGTAAAAATGAATTAACCTAACGAGATCGCGATTTCTTCTTTTATTATTAATTCAATCTGAGTATTCCATGTTCTCATCAATTTTTATTTCTTTTTTATCAAACTGAATGAATTAAGTACCAGAAGAACACTCTATTATAGATAGACTTGTTCATAATCAGCACATCAACCGCATATTTCTGAAGTAAAGTTCATTTGTTCAAAAGTTCAATTGAATGATTCATTCAATATTTTCAATTTTCAAGATTCATGGTGGAAAAGTTAAAAAGCTAATAATAAGTAAAGTAGCAATGAAAATTATTTCAATGTTTATTAATCTTGTCACTTCTACCAAGAAACTAGAGCCATCGATGGTGCTGATCAAATTAATGCCGAGAGCTCTGAAAATCTTAATGAAATTGATCTTTGTAATGATGTGAATCAGTGATATCAGAAGAGTACCTTCAACCTTTGCTCTGTTTCTGAAACAATGAAACCAGCAAAATACCATGTAACTATGTATCTATCATCTGATTATCGCAAGATTATTTCGTTTCGTAAAATTATAATTAACAATCTTTTTATCCTCGTAAAATTGACCCTGTATTGATTAACCGAGATAAATGTATATCAAATTGGCCATGAAACTTTAATTGTGAATCATATTGTACCAATGTAATACAGAATCTATTTTGAAAAAACCCTTCTGATTAGTAGCAATCAAATCGATGTAATCTATGCATGTTTTTCAGTTTATATTATTTGATCTCGAACCAGCAAAACAAAATTGCATTCATTCAAATACAATACAAACATCAATAGATTGTTGCTTAGACGAATGGGTTAAATCACAGCGAGTTAATGGAGGAATTAATTGCAGCTCTAATGGTAACAATGAAGAAAGTAGGCGATTAGAAAAGATGTTAATTGAGAAACAATCAAACTTGATACATTTAATACAAACTGATTAGATTATCTTCAAATAGGCTCTAGATCACGATTGATCACGTAGATCAAAAACAAGTTATTGCTGTTAGTGAAAATTGACTACAATTTGACCTTAAGAAAGGCACTTTTTTGTTGTTTGATTTCCCCATCCATTGATTTAATACTTGCTTTATTGGTAGCGCTATTACATTCACTCAGTTGCTCTTGCTCTTCATCTGCTCTTTCTTTCTCTTCCTTTGTGTATGTTATTTTGTAGTGTTTACTTGTCTTTCTCTCACAGTTCTTACCATTTTTATTTTCATTTTTTAGTTAATCGCTGTGTCTAAATTAAAATGATAACGTCATACAGAATGAGATTAATTATTTATCTGTTTGACTACCTATTACTTTGTATCTTTTAATTTTATAATATATTTGGAACTTCATCAATAATTCCTTTAATGGGTCAAAATTTTTATTTAGCTTGTTGTCATTAACTTTTCTTCCTCCAGTCAACAGCAAAATTTTTTTGTAAATCTACTTCTTTTATTCTATTGTTGATTCAATCTATGTTGAAGTAAAAGGATGTCCAGGGTTCGCCATTACAACCAAATTAATATCTGGAATATAGATCACAGGAAACATTTAATTACTATCTTGCTGTTATTGTTGCTACTTTCACTTGCTGTTGTTAATGTCAGTGGTTTATGACAACCTCTCTCTTCTCTATTTATATCTCCATTCATATCTTGCTGCTTATTTCAAAACTTACTCTCTTGACTACCAGTTCAAATTGTGATTGCAGATCTATCAAAATGTCTACCCGTTGGAGTAATGAGAAAGTCACCGCGGAACACAAAGACATCGAAGCTGATGTCATGTCGATCCATTCCAAAGGTCGTTACGTTGCTTTGTCAAATTCAAGAAACATCTATATTATCGACATTGACAACCCGTCCAAGATAGCTCGGTCGGTTGCACGATCATCTAAATGGGACGTTACAGCTTCCGAATGGAGTCCTCATAAAACTAGTTATCTTGGTCTAAGCTATTATCACTACATTGCGGTTTATTCATTTGCCGGTAAGCACTTTATCTTTGCTTTGTGAAAATTCAATTTTCCTCTTTTCTATTGTTATGAAAGCAGCTACAGAATTTAAATAACGCTTCTTATGAATTGTGTTTCTTTTCTATAGATGTCAATTCGGATAAAGGAATAGTCTCTGATACAAGGCGATTTCAAAGAAATCCTGAACCCGAAATATTGTTGAAGGGTCACCGTAGAGTTGTTACTGACTTTAACTGGGCTCCTTTTGATCAAAACCTTTTGGCATCATGTTCCATGGACACTTTCGTTTACGTTTGGGATCTCAGAGAACACCGAAGACCTTGTTTAGGATTTTCATCTGTAGGTAAGTCAGTAAACAAAATCAAGGTTATATTTGTTGTTACCAAGGCTTTGTGTACCATCCTATTTTTGACATAAATTATCCTGCTTTGTTTGCAGTTGGCCCAAGTCAAGTCAAATGGTCCAAGTCTGATGAAAACATCTTAGCAACAGCATTAGAGGGGGACATTCGGATTTGGGATAAAAGGGTAATATTACCAAAGCTCTTTAGCCAATTCAATTTATTTTCTAGCAAAAAATAATTTTCAATTCATAATTTTTTTACAGAAAATCGCCAATCCTGTACACTATATTTCAGCTCATGATCAACGTATTCATGGACTTGACTGGAATCCGTATAATGCCACACAATTTGCCACTTGTAGTCAGGATTGTACAGTCAAATTTTGGGAATTATCAACTGTTATTCAAGAAGAGCCAGTTGTTTTGCCCACCAAACTTCCGGTTTGGCGAGCTAAATTTACTCCATTTAGAGATGGATTGATCACAGTAGTGGTACCGCAACTTCGACGGACTGGTGACATCAATTCGTTATGGCTATGGAATACAAACAATTTAGAGCAACCTGTGCATTCTTTTTTTGGTCCAACCGATGTAGTCATTGATTTTGGGTGGCGTTGGAAACCAGATATCAGCGCTGCTGAGCTAGTCACATGGTCTAAGGATAGTACCCTTCGTATATGGACTGTAGATAAACCCATTTTATCATTATTCAATGAAGTTAGAGTCGTCGACCCACTTGATTATTCACCGGCTGGAGAAGTTGAAAATAGGAGTATATTTATTTGTAATACAATAAATATTGGTATGACCTCTCCTCAAGCTCAGGGAAAAAGTGATTCGATCCGACTTTTGGATAACAAAGTGCAATACACACCAAATAGTGATATTAGTGAACGTAATACTCCCGATCGTGGAAAAATACCTTTACATGAGATAAATAATCAAGCCAAATCATCTGAATCTAAGGATATTTTAATTAATTACAAAACCAAGTCATTTTCGCCATCTTCAACAAAATCTCAGAACTACAAGGCAGCTTCTGTTGAACCCATTTCCTCAGGATTACTAACTCCACCTGATCTTCAAGATGAATTTGCTCTTATGAATCTAGAATCTTATCAATTTACTAGTTCAAATTTAAGAATTGATGATTTTAATCCAATTAAACGTTATTGTATAGTCAGTGTGGAAGCATCATACAAATCTGGCCTTCGAGTTAAACTCAAAGTAACTTTTCCCAATTCCTATCCTAATGGTATTGCACCAACGTTCGAGATTCTTGACGATGGTGAATTGGACAAAGTTAGACGCAGTGAGATTCTTCGTATCTTAAGTAACACAGCACAAAAACAAGTCAAGCAAAACCGTCCGTGCTTAGAACCCTGTCTAAGAGATTTTGCTACTGCATTAGACCGTAAAGTCAACCTGAACGTTAGCTCTCTTCCCAACAACGCGACAAGCACCTCTTCATCTGACTACTCAACTCTTTATGGTAGTTTCCATGATGCCCAAGTTCCTTTTCCAAAAATTTGTGGAGCTCGTTTTTGTGGAGCTGATCTTTTAATTTGTTTTGGAAAGATGTCTTATTTCCAGCGGATTAATGATTCAAATGACCATACACCTAGAGCCTTATCTGATTTATCAGCTTATTTGCAAACTAATTACCGTCCTCTTGCGCCGATGCCAGTTAAATCTTTCACAGATTTTGGTAAATCTCAAGATAATTATTCAATATCATCATTCCCTTACTATTATGGTGATGATTCAAAATTGCGCCGTTTCCAGTCTCAAGGATTAGAACGGTCTTACATATCATTAGCAAGTATGCGTTGTGGCCCAATTACCATTTATAATGCTTCGGAACTAATGCCTTGTAACCGTAGATTAGCTGAAAAGTATATTTTCAATTACAAAAGTAGAGTGGAAATGTGTCAAAAAAATGCTGCAGTTGCATATGAAGAGAACCGGAAAGATCTTCATCAAACATGGAATCTTGCTATGCTTTCCTGCGATCCTATTTTAAACTGGAACTCTTATAATCATCTTAGCACTGATGCACCATGGGCCACTCACCCGTTTGGACGTAAAATGATTCAATCTTTGATTGACTTCTACCTTTTAACAATGGGAGACATTCAGACTGCAGCTATGTTATGCTGTTTATTTTCTTCACGATGTACAAATTGTGGTAAACTAGGCTGTCCTCAGCGCTGTACTTCTGAATATGACGGTAGTTTAATTAATTATGTGGTAAGGATTCTTAACGTTGTCCAATGACTTCTGCTCAATTTTACTGATTTTATCGAAAATTCAATTTTCTTTTATTCAACATGATTTAGCTTCCAAAACTCTTGAGAAAGCTGTCAAAGGTATTGAGTCTTTTATGATTCTGCATCCTTTTTGATGTTTGATTTTTAGTCATTTTGAATTCTTTAATCACCTTTTTATTTTTTAACTCGCTACTAAATCTGTTTTGTTATTGCTCCTAACAATGCTAACACTAAAAAAATTCAGTCTAATCAATTTTAATGGTTAATTATGTTTGTTTTTTTTAGCCTGGAGAATCAGGATGTAGTACAATTTCCGAACAATCAACCTCGACTACCCCAGTTGTTACGAAAATATCTGATGATTGGAGCATAAGTGAGTATATTATAGCAAACTTGAAATGATTTTGTCTATCAAAACTAAATTAATTTTTAATTACTTTAAATTACAGTTTCTGCAATAAAAAGTTTCAAACGAAATCGATCAAACTCTTGGAGTGATTCAGTTGAAAATGAATTACATTCTCCTCATGCTATTCTTGACTCGTATCGTTACAATTGTAACGAGATGGCTTTATTAAGAGACCAAAGAGAAGCTGAAAAGGCTGAAATTTATGGTAAAATGTTGGATCCTCGACTAAACCTTTATTTTGATTGCATTAAACAAATGTACGGCGATTTACTTCTTCGTTGGGGTTTACTTGGTAAACGAACCCAACTAATGAAATATGTACAAGACAACTTTAACTTTCAACAAGATGATACCTTACGATCAATTAACATTATCTCTATATGTCAATATTGTTCAAACCACTGTCCAACTTCATCATCAAGTCAATGCATGGAGTGTAAAAGATTAAATCTTAATTGTTCACTTTGTAATATATCCGTTCGAGGAATAGTCAGCTTTTGTCAAGTCTGTGGCCATGGAGGACACGCAAAGCACATGTTCAACTGGTTCACTAATAATGATAATTGTCCTACAGGTTGTGGGTGTAAATGTATTTTAGAAGAAAAAAATATCTAAAGTTACTCTCACACACAAATAATTTATCTCAACTTATCATTTAATGTTACTTTTTTATTTCTTTGTAAGAGATCATTTCATTTTGATAAAGATATAATTTAAACTCTTGAATCTAGATTGTTTTTCATTTCATCATTCAATTTCATTAAAATGTTGGTGGTAATTAATTTTTTTGAAATGTTATTTTATGAATAATGATTAACATTTTATATGCTTAAGAGAATGAAAATTCTGGTCAAAAAAAGTCGTGACCATTCGAGACAATATCTAAACACTAGATGGCAGCCTTGTAAATGTCTAAGATATTCAGTCTGCATATCTTTCAACCTAAGAATTGTTATCTTTATTTTGTTTTGAAAACTGTTTATCTTAAGTGGGGACCAATTTGATTATTAGGTAAATCAAAGTCTGTGAAGGTGTCAATAATGGCTTTATCTGGTGAAGATCTCAACTTGGAAAGTGATATTAAAAGAGCCGTTGAATTGCTCGGAAAGCTGCAACGGACTGAATATTCTGTATGGATGGGATCAGATGTTAATCAAAACAAATTAGCTGCTCTTCAAAAAGTATTGGAATCTGATTTTTTCAATGCTGTTCGTGAAGTTTATGAACGTGTTTATGAAACAGTGGACATCACTGGAAGTCCTGATATCAGAGCTTCTGCTACGGCAAAGGCTACAGTTGCTGTATTTGCTGCTAGTGAAGGCCACTCTCATCCGAGAATAGTAGAATTGCCAAAAACTGATGAAGGTTTGTTAAATACTATATTATATGCCTAACTGTTTCTAATATCTTTACTCGTCTTATATTTAGGTCTAGGCTTTAATGTTATGGGAGGAAGAGAACAAAATTCACCAATTTACATTTCAAGAATCATTCCTGGTGGAGTTGCAGATCGACAAGGTGGCTTAAGACGAGGAGATCAACTAATCTCTATCAACGGTGTTAATGTGGAAGGCGGAAATCACGAAGAGGCTGTTGAACTATTAAAAGTAGCTCAAGGAAAAGTTGTTCTGGTTGTTCGATATACACCGAAAGTATTAGAAGAAATGGAGATGAGATTTGATAAACAAAGAATGGTTCGTCGAAGCAAAAACTAGTTTCTCCTTTTAATCAGACTTGTTAAAATCAACATTTTTTAACCAATGCTTCCAAATCAATCCTTTTACATTTTTTCCTTTGTGTAACCTCATTGTGTTTGTCTATTATAAATCTATTGTAGATTAAAAATCAATGCTTCAAATCCAATTTTCCATGTGAGTTGCGTGACCAGTTTTGAAAAACTGTATGATATTCATTTCTATGGAATCCAATAATTAATCAACTTATCAAAAAACTATCCCACAGTAATTATATTGAGTTAGTTTTAAGTATATTATATTAGGGGGAAAACATGCATGACCTTATAAGGCATTCATGCAAATGTTTTACTCATCATTTTTAACAAGTAAAGTGAGTTACATACATGGAATATTTATAATATAATTAAATGTAACATGGAAATTCAGAAATTGTTGATCACTTTTATCAACTTAAACTCCATTAGCTAATATGATGGTAAATAATCAAATGGAGTGCCATTAATCAATCAAAATCCGATTTTAGTGATTGAAAGCTTGTATGGAATTTGGCTGGATACAAAATTAATAATATTGGAGATTAACTTGATCAATACAAGTAGATGATTGAATTGAAAGCCTCACTCACTCAAGGAGGTTGTGATGAAATTAGTAAAAGCTCGAAACTGCTCTCACACCACCACCCGATTGAGTGAGGAAGGCTTTTTGAAGATCTCGATGAATTTCTCGTATGAAATGATCATGGGATTTAGTGGTTCTTCAAGTCAATTGGCTGTAGAGTCCAACAGAGATAAAGTCTCAGGTGAAAAAACCACCATGAAATAAGGCCTAATACAAAGAGAGATAAAAATAAATCGCAATAAGTAAAATATGAAGTGATATCCAAACTAAATACAACGTCAATTCAATTGAACCAAAATAATCACAATTATGGAACATTTAAAATAAAACTGCGAAACAAAAATAAATCCAATATACAACAATACGTTTGATTATATAAAATTGGTTAGTAAAACTGTGAATAAATGACATTTTAGGGAAATTATTATATAAAGAATCAAGAACTTACCCAATAATCTCATGGATATTAGAGTCAGTGAATTTGAATTGCAGGAAGAGTGTACATTTCATGTGAAAATATATCAAATTGGCGTAGAATGAGAGCTTTAAATAAACAAAAAAGTCAGTATAAAGAGATGTTGATGATGTTAATACTGATAGTGAAATTGAATGAATTAGAGAAAGAAAACAACGATTAATGATAGAATAGATAGGTGGATCATAGATTAAAATAGACATAGTAATCGATTATAAGGTGTTTTATACAAATAAATAGAGAAAGAAGGTAAAATTATCATGATTGCCATCGTAAATGGCTGGTAAGGCTAGGAATTGATGAATAACACAAGAATCACATTGCAAAAGGTTAAAAATAAAGAGGATAAATATTGGACAGTTGAAATTAAATAAATTTTGGTTTTGGAAAGGCTTCTCTTTTATCTTCCATCCCTTACAGTTAGCTTTTTTCATTTATCTCTTTCTTTACATGATCGGAGCCTGAGCAAGAGAGGATTTAAAAAGGCGAAGAAAGGTTCTTAGCATCGAGAAAAAAAAGAATTGAGAAGTAAAGGCAAAAAAGAGGAAGATCATTGAGAGGGAAGAAAAAGAGAAGAAAATCGAAGCTCGGATTTACAGAGAGATAGCAAAAGTACAATCAGTAAATGAAAATGATACTTACATATAAGGATTCCATAAAATATGTAATCATGGCGATGCATTAGAATGAAATAGAGAAAGAAAAATGGAAAGAGAGAGAGAGAGATTACTATTATTATGATTATGATGAACACTGATGTTGATAGGATACACTGGCTTTACTAAGGTTTTGACTTTTTGATAATGGTAGTGAAGCAAAGGGAGACACTTAGCGAGAGAAAGAGATATATAGAGGGAAAAGAGGAAGAAATGCTAGTAAAAATTATATTAATACTTGATTGTATGTCAGTTAGAATAATTAAGATTTGATTACTGGCAGAATGATTAGCTGATGATACAAGAAAATGAATCAAAGGTTAATTAAAAAGCGAAGACCATGTTAAGCGAGCAAAAAATAGGATTGAATGACTGAGGGAAACTGAATGTAGCTTATTCCGCAATCTCTTATTTAGAAGGCAAGAAAAGAGAGGTTGCTTCAGCTTGAATTATTGTTAACCAAATTGGATTGGATTTCTGAAAAGCAAACTGAACAATTAATTTGTTTGCATATTAGAAGCATATTTTTTTATTGCTATCGCTTAATTTAACTTGTTCACTGTGTAAGGATGGAAAGAGTCAGAGAGGAAAGGAAAACGAATAGAAAGTTGTTGGGTTTTGGTGTTGTGTAAGGAAAGTGCAATGATGAAGATGAGAACATAGTAAATCGAAAAATGATTAGGGATTGAAAAAAATAAAAGAGAAGTCAATAAGAGAAGAAAAGGAAGAAGAAGAGAAGAGAGAAGAGGAAGATAAATGGTAAAGACTAGAGAAAGCACAAGTTAGACTGGTAAAAGTCGATCGATAATCAACCTTCTCTATGGTTACTTTCGATGATATTGAAAGAATGAAGGTCAACCTAAATTTTAGCCAAAAAAAGGTCTCAGAGAAAGTAATCGAACCAGAGTATCCACCTAATTTGATAATGATTGCCATTGATTAACATATTGACAGCGGCCAACACAGTCGTGAGATTTACATTGAAGCTATTTTAATAGTGTTTTACGAGTTTTGTAGGACATGGCATTTAATAAGCTATTTGTATCTTTCAGTCGATATTTACATTCACATGTTTTGTAACAACATGCATTTGTTTTAGAGTTTGCTTTTTGTAACTCGATTTTGTTGATCATGAGATTGAATCCTCCTACTTGAAATCATTTGAACATTGAACATGATACACGGATGTTTATTTGAATGGACTTGCATTGTTAACTGAGATCAGATATCAAATGAGGGAAAATGTAAATGCTATTGATATTGATGCTCGCTATAGTCAATAACCTATTCAGCTTTTTAACTTTCAACTTTCAATCAACTGGACTTTCATTAGCAGCAAAAAATCCCAATAAGAGCCATCCAAACAAAGGCCTTAAAAAGTATTCAATTATTAAGACTTAACAAAAAGATTCTTATTAAGCTTAAGATTATGATTTAGTGGATACCTGTATAGTTAAAATGAATCAAACAAACGCGTTAGTGTTACCTTACTGGAAGACTGGTTCATGAATGGAAAAATTCGTGTAAATGTATCAAATGAGACAATATAATTTATATTCACTTACTCTACAATGACTTGTATAATAGAATGAAGTGATTAAGAAGAAATATTGTTAAAAAATAATGTTTGTATTCATCTTTACTTTGTATTGTTTAACAAAAACTTCAGTTCACCCGCAGTTGCATTGCATGAAATTTAAATGATTGTGTGAGAAAGTGTAAAAATTGAAAATACGATAGCCTTTTTTAGCTTAGCCGAAACTGTCCCTAAAATGAATATTAAATGTCTATTATTGGATAAATTTTAACAAAATTTAACTTCACATAAATCTTGGTCAATCCATAGGCATCTGGTAATCTGGTAATAAGTTAGCCACGCATTCTTAGATAAAGTTGCGGTCGATAATAAACTTCTGTAAAGATGCAAAGAGGATTCCGATATTGAGCAATATTCAAATCGATGAAAGCATCATCCCACAGTTCTGGCCAAGGTAGATTTGCTTCGGGATTTACAAGCATCGTTTGCAATTGTTCAGCCATTTTTTCACTAGTAATCAATTTCATTTTTGCCATAGTAAAGGCTCTTGATGTCTTGTGGCGACACAGAAACCTCGTACATCCTTTTTCACTTGAAAGATTTTCATCGATTAAAAAATAGCTAATGTAAAGATGCTTGTCGTAGGAACATGCCATATACGTATCCAGAATAAATCTATCGCCTTCGTGTATCACGCTTTCAAAAACGTTTCTATTGAAATAATCATAACCAGAATGAGCCAATCTGAGTCCACTAAAAAACCAAGAGAAAGGAATAGGATTAGTCTATTGAACAATGGATATTGATATGAATTTCCCTACGTTGGATTCATTTCTATGTTGGAATAACTGACCAATCGGTCCGTATTTGGACGGTTAGTTTTAAAAGTTAAGCTCATAGTGTATTTTACTGGTATTCCTGTGAAAGCTGCAAGCTGTTGGTAATTTCATGTACAGAATGTTTAAAATAACAGTTATTTTTGTCACAGAAAAATATAAAAAGTTTTTAGAATGAAGTGATAGGCTTACCTGGTGAAATACTTGTTGCTGTTTGGTTTTGCATTCAACATCAGACCAATCAATGCGAATATTAAAATATTCCTTGTCATCAAACATTTTTACTTTAATATTGACTGTAAGAAAAGGTACAATACAATTGTAGTACAATTAAAGAAGCAAACGAAGAATCAAACATTAACTAACAAGTACAAGTAAGTACGTCCAAAATATTATTCAATTTTCAAACTTACGGATATTTGGATCACCACTCTCAGCCATTTTTGAGTAGCACAGTTAAATTAAACTAAACAATGATCAATCTAATTTATAAAAAGTAAAAAAGTCTTTGTCCAACGTTTGAACTGGAATAAAAAATTCCTGATAAAGAAACAATTGTTTGTTGCAAAATAGGCCAGTCACCTTTGACCAAAATCTGAAGCGCCAATTTTAACACTGGGACAACTTTCTAGGTAAAACAGCAATGTCTGGGAATTGTATCAATTGCATAAATAATATAACTCAATAAAAATTCAATATTATTTAATATTTAATGCTTAACGGCCAATTGAGCTAGATTTGGATTTATTTTCAATAATTGACAATTGAAATTATCCGAGAGAATGGCATTACATGTTCTAAGCTGAAAATTCGAGCTCTGTTGAGGAAAATCATGTTGTTTGCAAACTGGTGCTGTAAACTGATAAATCAGAAGATTTGTTAACAGAGTAAGATCATAATGCAACTTTGAGCAAATGATAAATTCAGTCAACTAGAGATGTCGCATTTTTTATTGAAACGATTATGATTTGTCAAAGTTCTGGCAATTTCGCTAAAAATATTGAACTTTTAGTTCTATCCTGGTTACATGAGGAATATATCTAAAAGTTGCTGCCTTTCTAAATTTTAATTTTGAATTTGAATATTTTGAAATTGTTTCAATGGTTGAATTTTGATTTGAGTCAAGGTAATAATTATATCATTGATGAAATATATTTAAGAAATTATTTATTAAAGAGACACAGAAGTGTTAATAATAATAAAGTGAGAAACATAGATGTATTATATACCACTTGTTTTAATCATTGTTTTAATATTATTCAACAGCGACTTTATTTAGCCACAACAGAGATGCTGGCTGTGTGATTATTTTGAGTGACTGGATTGGAACCGTCATCTCCACGAGTCTGAGGCGGACTTCTAACTATAATATTACCATTTTCGAGCATCGCTGATCTCAATATTAATGCTCGAGTTTTTTTCTGCCATTCCTTGCCCATATTGAATGCCTTTTCAAAAGTTACTGTTCTCTGATCCACATCTTTGGCGTAAATTATCTTATTGTGAGAATCTATGCGTGCCTGAAATTTAAAAAACGATATTAATTATTGAGTTTTCATTGTTTCAATAGAAATGAATTTATACCTGAATTTGACCATCTAAAATGAGCTGCATCAACTCGTTTTCCAAAGCATTCACATTGGTATTAAACGCTGCGGCCATTTTGTTCATGTCAGCCGATAAGTATGGTGAAAAATATTGAACCAGTGCTAAGTTTCGAATCATATTGTAGAGTATTTTAATATGTGGAGCAAGATAGATGTCTAAAAAGAGATTGTCTTTCATTTCGGATGCTATGGAAAGGCAACTGGCATATTTAGAGTCATAAAATTTCGAGATGGCATCTCTTAACTGTGGCTCCAGTTCGAGAAACAATTTGAAAGATGAGCTTGTGATAATCAAACGATGCAGTTCACTCCTATTGAAACTTGCCAATGCACATAATCCACCATAAATGGCAACATTGTTCGGACTTAGTATCTCCCAATAATCAGGCGTAAAATGATCAAAATTAGCAGCTAAGAAATGCTTAGCAGCTGACTTGTATTTTTTATTAGCCAAGTCAGCCAATCCGGCAGCACAGTGAAGTTTTGTGCCTATTGGACTATTAGGTGAATATTCGGGGGTTCCTTCAGCCTTTGACACATAACTCATCACATGATTCCAATTTTGGGCATAAATACTGACTTTGATCACATTTAAACACATATTCACGACATGTTTACCACTAGTACAATAGTCTCGAGACCTTGAATAACATTTCAAAGCATTGCTTATGTCACCCAGTTTGAGGTAGTGATCACCCAAGTCATCATGTCCTCTCCTTACACTTTCCTTAATTGAATTTGATTTGTAATTTTTAAGATCCGTGTCAAGCTTTTCTAGATTACTTGCACCTTTTTTACTGCGGCTTTCGATCCAAGCTGAATCTATTTGACCAATAACTTTTTCAGGTGTCAAACCTTGCTGTTTTAAGGCTTCTGTTAACCGGCAATAGATTTGTGTGTATAAACTAGTATTAAAGGTGTTTTCTTTTATGTAATTTAGTGCCATTTTAAGAGCATCAACACGCAAAGATGTACAATGATCAGCAATGAATAGGAGACGTTGAATTTTAGCCATTCCAGAATAGCAACTTGCATAAAATTCCAAGTCTAGAGTGGGATTTTCGACCAGGTAATTAGATGAATAGGAAGTATCATTCCATGTAGAGCCGATGTCACCACCTTCAGCGGAGCTTCCATCGTCCATCGGCATATCCAGTTGCATGGGTTCAACATTGTTTGATGCCATATTTGTAGAATTAAAACAAAAACAAATTTAATACAAATTTAACAAAACTGAAGAGCACGCAGCGAAATCTTATTAATCTTCCTTGTAAACAGCTTTGCGAGGGGGACAGAAAAAAGCTTAGCAACATCAACAGCTCCATCTTTTGTCATTGTTTGATAATTTTTATGACAGACAAAGAAATTGTTAAAAATAATTAATCAAGAATTAATTTTTAATAGAGTAACAATAATATTTGATAAAACCATTGAAAGTTGATGAAAAAGTCAGAAATCGTTCAGATGTCCAAAGAAAAAATAAAAATTTAATTGTTTTCTTTGTTTCAACAAAATTTGATGGATCTAAAAAGTAGGTCCAAGGAATTACTCGAATGATGAAGTCTTCTACTTAATACTTAACTACTGCATTTTAGTTTTCTAATTTAAGCGTCTAAATGTGTTTAAATAGATAAAATGATGCAGAATTCAACATTTGAATCTCTGATTTCATTAAAACTTGCATTTTGAAAGTTTCTAAAGACTATTTTTAGTAAAAATTATCAAATTTAATTGTGTAAAAAAATTGTATCGATTCAATATCGTAGGTTAAATATCGATAAGTATCACTGGATTCTGATATTTACTGATTTTGTTGTTGAGTCATACAATAGGAAGCTGGTAAATAGAAGCATAACAAAATATATCAAATTACTTTTCTGTATTTTATGTCCAATTTGTGACTGATTAATCTCTCAATTTTTTAAATTACTATCAGATAAAGATCTTTGTTTTTTTCTACTTATAAAGTGAAAAATAGTAAAGAAATAATGAGTCAGGATCGATCCCAAATCCGTAGAGCATCTCATTCTGGAAGTTGGTATTCCTCATCAGAAAGAGAATTAAGGTCACAATTGGACAATTGGTTAGCCAAAGCTGGACCCAGTGTCTATGGTCCTGCTCGAGCAATAATTGCTCCTCATGCTGGTTATCAATATTGTGGTGCTTGTGCGGCTCACGCTTACAAAGAGATCGATCCATCCATTGTCAAGCGCATCTTTATTCTTGGACCTTCTCATCATGTTCGTCTTTCTGGTTGCGCCCTTTCCCCAGCCAAAGTATGCAAAACTCCTTTATATGATTTAAAAGTGGACCATTCAACGTATGAAACATTGTATAAAACAGGAGCCTTTGAAGAGATGTCCTTAGATACTGATGAGGATGAACACAGTATTGAAATGCATATGCCATACATTGCTAAAGTTATGGAAGGCCATGATTTTCAAATTGTGCCTGTTATGGTGGGCTCTTTATCCTCAGATAAAGAAGCTTTATATGGTCGAATTTTTGCTCCATTCCTTGCCAACCCTGAAAACTTTTTTGTTATATCATCTGATTTTTGTCACTGGGGATCACGGTTCAGTTACCAATATTATGATGCTACCTGGGGAGAGATATATGAATCCATACAGAAACTTGATGAACTTGGTATGAGTATAATTGAAAAAACTTCCCCCAAAGAATTTACAAGTTATTTAAAAGAGTACGGGAACACGATTTGTGGCCGTCATCCAATAGGTGTTTTGCTCAATGCCGTCCATATCTTGAATACCAACGAAAATCAAAAGATTTCTATCAAATTTCTCAACTATGCCCAATCAAGTCGATGTATCTACAAGCAAGATTCATCAGTTAGTTATGCTGCTGGCTCCTGTCGATTTGATCGATGAAACAACAAAACTAAATTTCAATGAACTATCAGTTCACTCATTTGTAACCGGTGATTGATTTCTGCTAAACAAAATACTTACCAATAATACCATTCACTACTCATCGTCATCATCACCAATAAAGCTTTTCATTTTTTAACCGCTATTTATTCATTCGTCAAACTACTGGACATGTATAAAATTAGTCCAGCCTTGGTGAATCCTTGAGGAAACGGACATGCCCTTTTTAATTGTTCATTTAGTTGACTTAGAAGATAAGCCTTTAAACCTAATCGGCTGTTTACTGGAAAACACCGTTTTCATGGTCTTCAGGAGCTTCCTTCTTTCTCACTTTTATCGTGTCTTTCTTAATTTACTTTTCATCTTTACCAAACGAGCCTTTCCGTCCGTTTATTAACTAAATCGACAAGGTTTGTTTTGTTTTATCCGCTTCAAGGTAGACAACAATTTCAATGGTAATTTGCTTCATCAGCCTATCCATAAAACTTGCTTGAAAAATGTCCTTACTTGATACATTCAATTAATTGAACTCCTTTAGCTTTTCTCTCTCCTTCTCTCTATAGACAATCAGCTCACAATCAAATGAGAGTGATTAGTTTAACTTTATATTCCTCACAGTTAAGTTTTAAAACACGTCACTCCTGGTTATTTTCATATCAATGAGAAAAAGCTGTTTAAAATAATTTAGCAAAAACACCGAGAAAAGTAAATATTGTGAAAAAATAACCATAGATATGAAAAGACTTGACCAAGGTTGATTTGTTTTCAAAACTATCTCAAGTTGAACCTCCTCTTTTCAATACTTTAATTTTTCAGATATTTTTATTGGTTTTTATCTTCCAAGAACTACGTTCATCTGTTCAGTGATCTAAATTTATTCTATCCCTTCCTTTTCCTCTTAACCCTCTTAACTTTTCTCTCTTTTTTGTTCATCTCTCTGAATCGTCTTTTGAAAATATTATCTCCTTGTTAACACTTGTGTTTTCATTTATCAAAACCTATCGCCAATCATCAGAGATGAAACGTTTTTTTGTGTTCACTGCCCTTAGTTTTTTGCAGCCTTTAATAGTTCATGCATCGTTCACAATTATACTTTCAGTCCTCCAAAGAATTCGAACATGGTTTGAAGCCAATGATTCTGGACCTAAAATAATTGATTACCCTATGCTTCATTCTGATAGGTTATTTGGTTAAACCCATGACTGTGTTACAAATCCTGCGTTTACTCTTCAGGCCAAAGGTGAGACATAGTGAAATGATAATGTGTAAATTAAATCTATCATGTGTATTATCGTTTTCATCAATTTGTGTCTAATTTCAAGGCTTGATCTCAAAATATTGTGACCTAAGTGTGCCAAAATCAAAGGCAATCAATTTCGCCATTATGTTAAGTCAGCAAAAAAAACCAAGCAAGTGAACAATCCAAAGGATAAACTCATTGTATTTGTATCTTTATATCCATCTACCATGCCTATTTTTTTCCTCTCTCATTATCGATATCATCATTGTTCCATTATTAATTGACGATTGTTGTTAGTTTTTACCAGTATTTTCAACTGTTTGCCAGTCAGCTTCATTTTCACCATTATTTCTTGGTAACAATCATCGGACAACATTATAGTAAACCCAACCGAACAAGCTATACAACCCCTGAAAAGACTGGTTATTTCACATTTCCTTTTACAGTTAACATGTTACACCTGGTTGGAAGATATCATTTTTGTTAACTTATCTTTGATAGATGAACTATTATTGAACTTTTCAAGTGATTCATTTTTCAATCATTTTTTATCACAATTTTACATTCTAACAATTCTCTATATCAATCTAGTTGTTGCATAGCGATAGTAAATGTTTAGGTTTATATTTCGCTTCTTGTTACCGATGATTGATCAATTGCTGAATGAGACTCTGTTTTTAGTTAAATCATAGAATTGAAAAACATTCCAACGAATCAGATGATTAAATAAATAGGTGTTATGATGATGATAATGATGATGAGTATACCTATTTTCATTGCGTCCTCTATGGAAACCTCCATTCAAACTGTTTTTCAACAAGCTCACAAGCTAAACTCAAGCAAAAACAAACACAAAAACCTGATATCAGTAAAACGAGAATAACAAAAGACAATTCAATGGGATTATCATAAATTAATCTGAATAGAGGAATGAAAAAGTGAATATTTCCCAATGAAACTGTAATTTATTATCATATTTACCTATTTTTCAATTAAACCTATTCAATGATAACTTAAAAAATAGATATTTTTTTCCAATAAACATTTCTTTGTTAAAGTTTTCGCTTAAAGTGATTTAAAAAAATTAATGACTGATTTGTAGATTTGTTGTAACTTTTTATTATTCCAGTTGATCTTGACAAATTTAAACACAATTTATTAATCACCGTGAAAGAGTTAGATGAAAAAAAAGAAGTAATTGGTTAAATTAAAAAGTCTGTAAACCGATAGACTCAAGCAATCTTGGCTTACTTGTTGGTTGTTAAGCTATATTTTACAATAAGCCCAGAGCAAAACGAAACAAAATACAAAAAAGTTTCAAATGATAGCTATGAATCAATTTACAAATTACAATTAAATGGACGGTGATGTTTCATCTGTTAATTACAATGGTGGTTGGATGCTCAGTTTATGGTGAATAGCTGCAAATTGTTGCAGTTTTACAGGTTGAAATGGATAACAGAAGGAAAAAAGTTGAAATGTATGAAGTGATGGGAAAATGTGAGCTGAAAAAGAGCGGAATTAACTAAAGATTGAAGATTTGTTGTTGCCAGCAAGAAAGGTAAGAAAGAGGATTAGAGGGAGAAAGAAAGGTTGAAGAAGGCTAAGATGGAAAGGTCGTTAACAGGAATGAAACGTAGCAGTGTGTAACTGAACATGAAATTGTTAGAGAGGAAGAACCAGTTCGGATGACTGGGAAGAGAAGTGTAAAGACAGGGAGTAAATAGATGTGATTTGGATCATCAGATGAGATTTTACTGGTAGGCAATTGTCTTTCCAATTAACTGATTGTGAAGTGAATGTCAAGATTGTAATTAGACAAAGAGCGAGCAAGAGAAGGCACCTTTCTTTAAAGAAAAAGTACCTAAGCAGATTTTTCCATTTTACAAAATTTCAACCAATTTCCTTTTATTTTCGTGGAAAATGTGTTTTTTTTGTCCGGCGAATTGTTGGTCAGTTTAAATGAGTGGAATCAGCAGGTTGAATTACAATATAAATTAATTTATCATCAACTACGAATCAATCAATTGTTGCAAATTTCATTTCAAATGAAATATACACATTTTGGTGGAACAATAAAGAAAAAGCAAAAAGCAAAAAGTTGATTAGTAAGGTCATTGAGAGTTTATGCCAAATTATTGGAGTAAATAATTTTGATCTTTAACTCCAGGCTAGATGACGATTGAGATATCTTGAGTTTCTTTGCGTTTCCTTGAAAAGATGATAATTTTTGTTTTTTTCCTTCTCAAAAAAAGAGTGAAAAATAGAAAGATAGAGAACAAGCATATGTATAAAAAGACATACTAAGAAATGAGTGTTTTTTTGTGAATAGATTTATGATGTGTTGTGTGTTGAATGTTTTGTGATTTGCGTGTGTGAAGAAAGAGAAAGAAAGAGAAGGGAAACAAGAGTGAAATGTCAATAAGATTTGAATGTCCACATGAAGAATAATGATTTGATGTTAAGTTGAGATGTCGGAGAACATTAGATTTGCCTTCAATATTTTTTTTGCATTTTAGTCATGATAATAATAAATTTAGAAGATGTATACGAATGATTAACGCAGAATAAAGATAAAGAAAAGCAAAAAAGATGTCTATATTGACAATTATTCGATTCTGGATTTCTTCTCCAACGATCCATTATCTTCGCTTCCTTTGATTTCATTAGTAATCTCCTCCACAGGTCTCTTAATAGCAGTAGCATTAGTTGTTGTTTTAGAGAGGGTATCCATATCGGTTATAACATTTTCCTCTAAAGAATTATTTTCAGACTTTTTAATTTCGCTAATTTTTGTATCACCATTATCAGCAACATTGTGATCATCGTTACAGCTTTCACCATTGGCCACATGTCCATTATTGTTTGTTGTGATTGTTGTTGTGGTGGTCGGTGGGGTTGGTGTTGCTGTTGGAGTTAAAATAGTAGAGTTGGTGGGTGCGTCGGCTGTATTTTCAGCTGTACTGTTGTTCAAATCATCTGAACTTAAATTAGAGTAACTTAGATTACTGTTGTCTCCATTTGTTATAATCTGTTGTCGTGAATTATCATCTGAACATAGACCTAAACCATCTTTACTATCTTCGATGCAGTTATATGCGCTACCATTATTTTTATCATTTCGTCCTAATCTTGAATCTCCATCTAGATCATCTTTAGTTGAATCATTACTCTTTTCTTCTACTTCGGAGGCATTAGATACAGGTACAGATATATTGGAATCATCATCTAATACTTTATCACCTCCACCGTTTGTATGAGAATCACCATTACCATTCTTTAAATCATCATCATCTTTTTCATTATCATTCTCATTTGCAACTCCATCAGGAGTAGGCATATTATCCAATAAGTTAAGTTTCATTTCTTTAATCCAATAATGTGTCCATAAAGTTAATTCTACTTTATGTGGAGTCCATTTAGCAGTGGGATCTGCATACGGATAAAATGAAAGGAATGTAAAGTGTGATTACACATTTTTTTTACTGAAAAAATAACAAAGAGATTATATTGAACAAGAAAATATGACTTACCTTCGGCTTGTAGTCTGTCACAGGCGACTTTAATTTGGTCAGCGAAAGCAATAAATTCATTTACGGTATAATTGGTGTTTTCTATTCCTGGAACTGACATTAAACATTCATCCGCCATGAAAGGACAAATCTCGGGAGCATAAGCACATAAAATAGCTAAGACAAAATAAAAAAAGTACCCGTATTAAAATCTAATAAGAATATTTTTTTGCTTATTAGCTAAATAATGATTTTTAGATATTACTGATGACAGTATGACAACAAAAAAAAACTAAATTATCACACTCAAAAGATTTCATAAAAATAATACACATCTAAAATAAATATCTAAATACCTGATGCGGTAGCAACTCCAATCCCTTTTAAATTGACCAATGCTGAAATAGCTCCATGGAGATTCGTTGGACATTTTTTGAAAGCTTTGGTGGATACTGCTTTAACTGCAGTTTCTGTATTCATTCGTACAAGATCCAATAAACCTGCACGATTTTTGGTTCGCCATAATTTCCATTTAGTTATCTGTACCAACTCATCATGCCGGATTTGACGCTCTTTACGCGCCGCTAAAATCTTTGGTAATTCTTCTTGATACCTAAGAAATAAAAATAATATTCAAGATAAGAATAAAAATATAAAACAAAGAAAATATATGTCACTAAATATATATGTGTAACTAATTACTAAATTAATAAATTGTAAAATAAAAGAATTATTACATAAGTAAAACTTTTATTCAATCAACTGATCAATAAAAAGCGCAAAAAAGTTAATCTGTCAAAAAATATTGGATGCTAACAAGAAATAAAGTCAAAGGGAGGAAAGTAGACCGAGAGAAGCTGCCATATAAAGACCTTAAGAAATACAACGAATACAAAGATTTAACTCAATTAATCTATTCCTTATTCTTTAAAATATTTACCATAATAAATGAATATTGTAATAAGCCGAAAGATCCAACAATTATATATTGAAATAATATAAAAAAGTAGCGAGAAAAATTACGCTACATTTATGCTATTTTGTATGGAAAAAGATGGTAAAAGAGAGCATAAGACTGACTTGCTATCGGTTCAATGAAAATGGTGGCTTTAGTTGGTTGTTGAAGTTGCTTGCTTGTTGTATGTATGTATGTTGGTTATATTGGGTAGAAAGAAGAGAAGAGAGGAAAGGAAAGGAAAAGAAAAAGAAAGAAAAAAAGAAAGACTAACTAAAAGCAAAAAGAAAGAGAAAGAAAGAGAAGTAAAAATTAAAACAAAGAAAGATTGAATAAAAAAAGGTTAAAATTAATAAACATTCAACTTGGATTGAAAAGTTTACCGGTATAAATAAGTGTTTACATCTCCAGAGACATACAACAACAAAAACTGTGAAATAGAGAGGCAAGTAACACGAGCAAAAAAGAGATATTCGTAAAACTCGCCTCTCAATCGTATATATATATACTATAGATTATAATATGAGGTAGAAAGAGAGCAAAGAAAGAAAAACCAGTAAAAGAAAGAGAAGAGAATAAGAGAGAGAGAGAAAAGAGACCGGGATAGAAAGATTATTAAATGAAAAAATAAAGTCTT